CGGCCGCGAAAGGAGCCCCAGGCCAGGGATCCCCCCGGCTCCAGCCGCCCTGCCAGCCGTCTGCCGTCCTCGTACGGAGGTGGAGGTGATACGGAGGCTTTGCAGGCACGCTCTCTTCCTTGTTTTAGCAGTGTGGCGATTCAGTATATAAAAACAGATTTTTTTTTCCTTAACGAGTGTTTTTTAAATTCTTTGCAGAAAATAACACCTGAAATTGTTTCATGCATGTGCATTGAAGTCAGATACCTGAAGTCCGTTACCCCTTACAGATCGTTTCAGTTTCTGAGTGGATAAAACGTGATGCCACTGTTCCTCCAGACTCCTTTATCTGAAAATGACGTTTTTTCCACAGCTGTTGACAGGCAGATACCGCGACACCCAGACTTCAATAACCGACAGCTCCGCAGTTTACAGAGTCAGCAATGACAAGGTGAGTGGGCAGGTTTTTAGCTGTAACTTGTGCGTGGCTGTTAGAGCCAGCTGATGCCTTTGTCCTTCTGCTCCCTGTGCTAAACCCGGCTTGATGGGGAATTTTTGTGCTCTTCAGTCTTCCCAGCTTGAAATCAGTCCACGGTTTGGTCTGAGAGTAGGGTAGGATTTTTCTAGGCAATGCACGCTGAAAAGTAGGAAAATACTGGGAGGTATTAGGGACCCCTCATCTCTATAGATTCTTTTCTCTTTGCTTGTCAAATTGCGAAGCCTTTTTGACTGAAAGCTGTGTCTGTGTGGTGGCTTTTGAAAGGTGGCTAGCGTGTAGTATTTTTTTTTTTTCTAGAAAAGTAAAAAGGAGCTGCTTTTACAAGTGGACTAAAATACGCAGCACTGTAGGGACAGTGGCGTGGTTTGGAGCAGGAGGGAGATTTGTCAGGGGATATTGTGCTGCTGTTTGGTTTATTTACTTGACAGTAATTTCTGTTTCTCCCTAAAAATTCTGAAGTTAAAAGCTTTAGTGGGTTTAAAAAGAGTCTCCAGCTGAACTTCATATGGTCAAAAAAAGGGTTTTGTTCCTTTCAGGTCCTGGGCTGCCTGGATTCTTTTCAGCTTATGGCAAGCTCTTTCATTTCAGAAGTGTGTGTTTCTCGTTGCTTGGTGCACATGGCAGTGAAAGCAGCAAGTTGGCAGCCTATTACATGCTGGTGAATTGTAAATGTAAAGGACGTTTTTGTGACTTCTCTATGGCAATCTTCTGTAACAATGGTAGTAATAAGTTAAAAGCTTAGTAAAGGGAAGTGCAGGGTGCTTTTTTTTAATTTTCATGTCTTCTTAAGATTGAGCCGACAAGTATTTGGAGGAGGAGAGGTATTGGAATGCTGCAAGGCAGACTGATGCTTTTCTCATTTTCTTTTTTTGTAGACAAAGTTTCCATTAAAATTCAAGAGCAGTGAGTAGGCAGGGTCTTGTGTAGTATTCTCCCCCCTCTTCAGAACAACAAGCGTTACCTTGAGAACAGTGACGTGGCCCCACTTGGCCCCATCTTGATCAGGAGTGTGTAAGAGGCATTCGTTCTCTTTAATGTCATTGCTTTGGCTGACAGGCTGCGGAGAGGGAAATATTTGCAGTCTGCTGCGAGGGCATTTTTCTGTTATTCCCAGCAAAGTTTTTGTATATAGGTAGACTTGCAGTTGGGTAGATTCTGTGCATCAATTCTGTCAATTTTGATTCAGAGACTGTGGGATTAATATTCTGTATCAGGGACTTGCAGGACAGGAGTTTGTGGGTTTGCTGTGCAGAGATCTATTTGCTGTCAGGGACAGTGTAGGTCTGCTGGTGTGCCAAGAGAGGTGACTGACAAAGCTTTGTCACTCGCACTCTGTGTGTGGTAGTTGTGGGGGAGGTACTGTGGATGAGAAGTGGGTTGATCGTTCTCTTTTCTCTGCGGTCATGCTCTGTTCTCTCAGCTCTGGTGGGTAGTTTGCTGGTGCTGGCACCTGCCTTACTGAGTCCTAGCCATTGGTGTCATTCCTCAGCATTTCTTTTGCCTGTCAGAATTATTTGGGCTGGTGGAGAGACTGCACCTCGGGGAGAGTTACGTGCTTCTGCCCAGTATGGGGATTTGCTTGCCCACTGCTGCCTCGGCACCAGGCTAACTGGAATAATCCACTATCAGTCCGATTTTCCCGGTCCATGGTCGCAGGTTAGGTGTTGCTGATGCCTTCTTGCTTCTGTTCCCAGAACGCTAATGTGACCTTAATCGACCTTCCAGGCCATGAGAGTTTGCGGCTTCAGTTCCTGGAGAGGTTCAAGGCCGCAGCCAGGTAACTTGGAGGAGATTGGCAGGGGAGGAGGGGGCAGGTGATGTTTTGGATGGGGATGAACCAAATGATGGTGCTGAGGATGCTGTGATCTGGGCTGGATTCATTCTGTGTGAGTCAAGATTTCCTGCTGGGGCTGAAGGTGGGGTGTATTTCAGCCAGCACGTGCTAACCTGCTCTTGGGTTGGATGAGATCCGTTGTGGAAACAAATGTGTTCACCCAGGCTGGAATACTTGCAGGTGAAGATGGTTGCAGAGCTTCAGGCACAGCACATTTCTTCCCTCTTTCCTCCAGAGCCATCGTGTTTGTGGTGGACAGTGTGGCCTTCCAGCGGGAGGTGAAGGATGTGGCAGAGTTCCTGTACCAGGTCCTGGTCGATAGCACTGTGCTCAAAAATGCACCTGCGCTGCTGATTGCTTGCAATAAGCAAGGTATTGTGTGCTGCCTTGCGGGCTGGATGCCAGATTCGGTCCCTGAGTGATAGGGGTTTGTGCCAATTTCTTAGGAGTTGGGATTTCAGCAAACCGAAGTAACTTAGTTTTAAACTTGGACTACTCAGCAGGACCATTCCCAGCAGCCATTGGAAGAATTCTTAGGTCAGGTATATCTAGTAGCTTTGCAGAGAAGCACGACTTGGGAGAGCTACAGCTTTTTAGACAGACTTAAGTAAGGCAGGTGGCTTTCTGCAGGCAGCAGAAAATAGGATCAGCTTGAGCGTAATAAGCTAGCTGTACATGCTTGGTAGCTTCAATGTTAAAATCAGACAGCTCTTTAGCTGCCAAGATCATACATTTTTCTCTTGATGGAACTAGCAAGAACATCCAGTTACTGGAAAGGACTAGATTTTCAGATCCCTACAACTTTTACAGTGAAAGTGTGGATCTCTCTATAACAATCTGAAGCTTTTGAGCAGTGTTTGGTTTTCTTACTTATTTTGTGCACTACTTCAGGAGCTGCCTGAGGCCTTCATGGCTCCATGTGCCATAGGTTAAAAAGTGCCATGTTGAGATCTGTAATGCCAGGGCAGGTGAGAGCGCTGGGCCTTGTGGGTGGGACATCAAACCCCGTTCTCTGTTTGAACCGACTTACTGCCCAGCAAGAAGAAATTAATTCCCTACATTATATCAGACTTCTTGCCTGCAAACCCAGAGCTCCAGTGTTCCTTATCCTTGTGCAGACACAGCCATCTTTGTCCTGGTAGCTCTTACGACTGCACAGTATGAACAGGCCTTACCGCACCTTTAGGTGGAGGAACAAGGTTCTGAATTCTGACATAAAATCAAAGAGATGATTCCCTTTTCTCTTTCTAGATGTCACAATGGCAAAATCAGCAAAACTTATTCAACAGCAACTGGAGAAAGAGCTGTGAGTATGAAATTGGATCTGAAACCCTCTGACCTTCTCTCTTCTTTCTATCTCTTACCTCAGTGCTCAGTGAGCTCCCTTGAGCCACATCTAAGCTCATTGTAGAAGAAGATCAATCTGTTTTGTCTATGTGGGTGTAACCAGGATGAGAGAAGATTGCTCCTTCCTAAAGCATGCAAAAAAGCAGTGGGCACAGACAGTGTATTGCCTTCTAGAAGCTGTGGGTTGGAGAAACAACATCCCAGTCCTTTCCTAAAAGCTGCCCTCCCTCAGCTAAGCGATACCTCCCATGGCCCAGGGCGCCGTCCTCTCTCTGGTACAGCAGGGTTGGCTTCCAAATGTCAGACTTTGTGAGTGGTGTGAAGATCTCAGTAGCTCTGCTCTGTTGTACTGGCACAGGTGTTTTTTGCAGGGCTGCTCTGATGCAGAAGGGCTTGGCATGCAAAGCCTGTGAGAGCTGGGGAGGGAGCGTCTGGTTTTCCTGGCCTGCTAACAAGCATTGCAGGAGCCTGTTTGGGACCCTGTGTTGTCTCTGTATCCCCCTTAGGAAGGCCATTAACCTGGGAAGACAAATGATTTATGATCTGTTGCTAATTTTAAGTTGTAAGAAGAAGTGGAAGGAGGAGAAAGTGGCTTGTAGACTGTGTAAGCTGCCAGATGAATGAGGTGCAGCATCAACGGCTGGCAAGTCCATCTGGGGAGGGGGCAAGTAGAAGATTTTTTTTTTTTAAGCTGTATTTAATCTCTGTGCATGAAAATTTTGCCTGTGAGTCCCATAATTGTAGTTGGGTCAAATCTGCTCTGGGAGGGACCTGTGCAGCTCTTGTGCCTTGGTGGACTTCTCCTCCAGCATCTAGTAGCGATTTTCCTTCCCCACGCACACTCAGAACTCGATATTTTGCCTTTCTGTTGCCAGTGGTTTGCAGTTAGCGGCAAGGTGGTCTTGGTGGTACGAGGAGGACTGTAGCTCTTTGGTCTCCAAACAAATGCATGTTTGTGGGATATGGCCATCTTGTTGCCAAGTGGTGGACTTGCCAGTGTTAAGTTTGTGGTTGGACTCGATCTTAAGAGTCTTTTCCAACCTAAATGACTCTGCGATTCTATAATCTCTTTGGCCAGTAGACGGCAGCAGGGTTATTTGTGCTGGTGCCTCTTCCAGGCTGAATACCTGACCTTCCTGTTTTTAAGGGAGGAATTAGTTGCCACATATTCAAGCTCTCCAGGAAAATAAGCGCCCCTTGGTTCTGATGTTGAGCGTTTGCCAGTTATCTGTGTCTAGAAGTTGGATTTCTATGTGCCCTGTTACTCCTGCAGGCTGGCAGGTTGCTGCCATCCTCTTCCCTGCATTGCCGTACTTCGATGTCCTTGTGTGGAGAACCCAAGAAGGTGTCTGCCTTCTTATTCCTGAATTCCTGAACACCTCTGGGCAGTGTTGTCTTTTCCCTGTGACCTGTTAATTTAGCTCCATCCTGTGAGTAAAGAGTAGCTGGGGTTGACTGAGAGCAGGCACTGCCAGGCTGCTTTGTCTCTGAAAGAGATGCAGCAGTCCAGCCATGAGGCTCTACTAGGCAGTCGAAGATCTGAGGAGAGGTTGCTGTTTGCACCTGTACCTGGTGCAGCCTCGTGATGTCCTTAGCCTTGCTTTTTGGGACCTCAGAGGCAGTCAAATTGCAGTGCCTCTGCATCTGTTAGGCTCTTCCATCTCGCTGTCCTGCCTCTGCCTTGGATGCCTGGTGACTGTGGACAAGGAGGTCCATCCTTCCTCTCCACGTGTGGCAGGGAGTTGAGATACTGCCGCAGGCTGAAGGGCAGGAGCAGCAGCCACATTGCAGCCTGGTCCTTGGGCAGGCATTGCTCATGGGAGCAGTGGGGAGACTCGGTCCCCCTCTCAGTCCCCAGGGGTATTTGGCACACTTTGAGTGGCCGTGGGGTGAGCCCTGGCATGATCCCTGATACCACAGGTGCTGCCTCTCTCTTTCCACTTAACCTGTTAAACTAGTACAGAGCCTGAGAAATGTGGGCTAAATCATCTGTAACTCCTGGCAACTGGTGTCTGCCATGGGGGTATTGGGTGAAATTCAGGTGAGGACATCATTGCCTGACGCTTGCTGTTGTTTATTACAAAACAAAACCTGTTGAAGCACCCTCCCCTTGAGTCTCAGAGACAACCTTCTGTTTGTCTTGCTCTCTTGAGCCTCTCTGCAGTTTGTGCCTTCCAGCAGGTATTTAGGAGAAGTGGCCAAAGTGCCTGCCCCTGCCTGAGCCTCACAGGGCAGAGCCATGGGACCTTCTCTCCTTGCTGTAGCTGGCATCCTGCTGACAGAGCTGGGTCCAAGCATCTCAGCAGACATGGTGTTAGGTAATGTTCCCCTGGTTCACAGTTCTTGACCCTTTCCTTTCTCTGTCTGCAGCAATACCTTACGAGTGACCCGCTCTGCAGCCCCCACCAGTCTGGATGGCTCAGCCACTGGAGGCCCTGCCCAGCTGGGGAAGAAGGGCAAGGACTTCGACTTCTCCCAGCTACCCATGAAGGTGGAATTTGTGGAGTGCAGTGCTCGGGGCAGCAAGGGAGAGGAGGGAGATGCTGACTTTGAGGGCCTCGAGAAATGGCTGGCCAGGGTTGCCTGAACGAAAGGCAAGGCTGGAGGGAGAGACTTGGGGAGGCTGGGGGGCAGGACACACTGAAAGGAAAAAGGTGGTCTGAAGCACTCAAATCTCATCTTGCTGTAGAAAGAAGAAGCTTAAGCTGGACATCAGTACCGTGGTATCTTCCTCTGCTGCTCATGGGTTTGGGAGCAACATGACACAATTGCTTGGTGTGATTTTCCTCTCCACACTGTGACCTTTTTTTCCTCTCCCCTCATCCTTTGTATTCCTCTGGGATGCTGACCCTCTGGGTTTCCGTTTCCTTAATCTTTAGACTTTTCATTTGGTAGGTGCCAAGCAAATTAGGAAGGAGTGCTTTGCCAGGTGAGTTTTAGAAAACTGGAGTCTGCGTGTTGCATTCTGCCTTGGTTTAGCATTGCAAGCCTGTTGCCTCTCGGAGCTACTGATCGCCTCCTGATTCGGACTTCTTTCCCCAGCCTCTCACTGCTTGGGAGCACTTGTGCACGTGACCTGTGCTGCCCTGGCAAAGTGCACAGGCGCTCTCAGTTGGGCAGTCATTGAGGAGAGTAGAAAAAACTGTTTTCCTCGGTGTCTCCTGCCTGCCTGCTCTTCCAAACAAGTGCAGTCCCATTTCTGTGGGCTGTCTGCTCTGCCTGTGTCTTGCTGCAGTGCCTGTGTCTTTGTGTGGTTTCCACTGTTGGACAGTTCTTGGGAGTTTTTCTTTAACGGAGGGCTGTGTCCTGAAAGCTTGTTTCACTCTGTATCTCCTTCCCATACTTCAGGCTCTTCTCCCACAGACGTGTATGCACACTCTCCAAGTGGCAGAGTTATAGTAGGGTCTTGGCTTGAAACTATGAGGCGGGCACATTTTTAGATTGATACCTACATTACGTGTGACATCTGGCATGACGGGCATTTGCTGTGCAGTCCCCTGCCTGTCTCCTCCTCCAGTGACTGCAGTAAGATCTGGTTTTGTGTGTGATTAGTCAGCAGCGGTGGCAAAACGAGAGGGAAAGTCAAGGAGCTGCTAGCACATTAGTGCGATCCCTCCTCCAGAGGAAAATCCCTTATGAAGAGGGGAAAGAAGTGTGAGATTTTCCCAGTTCATTCTCATTTGTCTGTGGTATTTAAAGCCAAAGTTGCTGCTGTGTGCGTGATCTCAACTGTTAATCTTGCGGGGAAGATTTGGGGAATGCCTGTCACTGTAGCTCTCTCAGTGGCTCAGGAGGCTGCTTGGAGTGTTGGAGGACTGATTCAACATGCTTCTGAACTGTCCAAGGGACATGTGCTCTCCTCCTTCCCATGCTCTGCCCAGGAGCAAAGGGTGTCCAAAGGGAGATCTTCCAGCAGCATTGGTGTTGGTCAGGTGGGAGACATGACCCTGGGGCTGTGCTGGGTGTTGATCTTCCTCTTCCTCGACAACCTTAAAATGCAGCTGCCCAGCCCAGCACAAGCTGTAGCTTTGTGTTCTGATGGAGTGTCATTTCTGTGCAGCACCTATGTGAGGATGATTGCTCTCTACACTGCGTGTTGCCAGGTCCTGCGGCATTGAAATATTGCCCTTGTTGTTTCCCCTCTTGTTTTAGGGTAGGAGGGAGTGGCTGGCTCTTGGGAGACCGTTTTTGTCCTTTGCAGGCTTCTCTCCTCTCTGGTTTGATGCTTCCTTCGTCACTTAACTGATTTTCTGTGTTCTTTTCCTTTTATGTCTGGGGCATTCTCTGCTTCCCTGTAGCTTTGCCAAGTGTTAGTAGCATTGGGAAGAGCAAGGACCTGTGCTCGTGATGGAGGTGGGCCTTGCATTTTGAGTCTTGTGAACCTCATGGCTCTTCTACTATCCATGCAGGATGTGGGGAGGGTTATATTTATGAAGTATGTTCTATTTCCTGCAGCCAGGATATTGTTGGAACATGTTTGTCGTGCTTTGAACTCCTTTAGCTAGAGATCCTTCCTAGGCTGCCTGCTTTGAATCTGTAATGCTGAAGTGAGAACATTGCTGTTTCTTTGGGTGGTTATTCTGCTTGCGAAGACCTATCTCCTTGAGAAGGAGAGGCCAAGCACCAGCCTGTGCTGGGGTAAGGGAAGGTAGCATGATGCCATGGTTGGTTTTAAGTTATTCTTGTTAAAAGTATTCCTTAAATAAAATGTTTTTGCTTAAATGTTTTTTCTCAAGTCTTGCTTTAGTGTGTCTGCATCAGCCCCTTCTCAGTGGCGTCAACTCTGCATGGATTGGGTCTTTGCTTCTGCTCAACACAACACTGGAGATCAGCCTCCCTGCCTGGTGGCCACGTCTGTCTCGTCAAAAAACAATGCCTCCTCCACACACAGGGCTTTTGGGTTTGTTTTTCTTTTCTGGGGTGCATATTTACACCATAGTCTGAACGTTAGAGACTTGATAATCATGTAGCAAAAAAAAAAAAAACCACCAACCCCAAAAGCTTAACAAAAAAGGCACTTTGCCTAGATGCACAGGAAAGCTCAAGCCAGCTGCAGTGTGTTGTGCATGGCTGTTGTGGAGCGCTTGCCCTGCTCTGTGGCCAAGGTGGCTACAGCCCCCTGCAGCTTTACAGCTGGATGGAGAAACCTCAGCTTTCCCTGCCCGAGCATGGCTGCGGGGCTCGGGGGCGGCTGTACGGCAGCGGGGCTGAGCTGGGGCTGTGCCCAGGGCTGCTCGTGCCAGCGGTTGGAGCGTGCGATGGGCTGTTGCAGAGCTGCATGTGTGTTTTGGGCTGTGCTCCATGATTTGCCTGTTAACTATATAGGACTGTTTTTCCCTAGTGGCTGAGGGAAAAGGGCAGAACTGTAAACTCTGGATATTTGTCTTGTGTTTTTCTCCAC